ATGGTAATAGTTCGGAGATTTTTAAACTAATTGGAAATATTGCATTTGTTTAATCTTCTGCAATGGTTCGAAAAGCGCGCAGGTCTAATGGTCATGGCGCCCTGGCTAGACATCCTAGAGGTGTGTAAATGGGTGGAGGCGAATTTAAAACGGGGAGTAACTATGTGATGGACTAGCATTCCATCCAGGGGGAAAGGAAATTAGAAATATTTCCTCGCTTAGGCTGTATGGGCTACTGGCCTGACGCAGACTTTTTTTTAATTCTAATACGTGCATCTCCATGAACAGTGCCAGTAAGTGTTTTTTTTTTTTCGGGACCCTCAGAGAAAATTTTCGTATTAAATTATTTAATTAAGTTCTGAATTTACCATTAATTTTTAATCACCAACGTCCTTATTTATTGACTTTTATGAATTTGTCATTTTTCGGTCATTCCGGGAATTCTGGGTATTCCGAGTATTGCGGTTCCGGTTCCGAATTCTGGCATTCCGTGTTCCGTCATTCCGTGTTCCGGCATTCCGTGTTCCGGCATTCCGTGTTCCGGCATTCCGTGTTCCGGCATTCCGTGTTCCGGCATTCCGTGTTCCGGCATTCCGTGTTCCTGCATGCGATTTTCGGTTTTGATCGAATTTTTTTGGCGGTTTTACGGTTTCTAATAGACTCCAATGCCCCCCTCGGTGAAAGATAGACACACTTTTCTTCGATTGGCCTTCTCAATTCTATATCTTCATTTGAAAACACTTACAACAGTTCTGTCTTTTTCCCATACTACACTACCCTCAGAAGTCGCAGTTTTCACCATTGTTTTGACTAATTCACATCAGACACGAGGCGATTACGAAACTTTGAGTCATCTTTACGCTTCCCTTTTGAAATAATTTTCGAGAGTGTCCCCGTTTTGATCAGCGTTTTCTGACGTTCATTGAAGACAATATCGGCGAAAACTATTCAAAAGTGCGAATTTTGTGACGACAAAACGCAGCAGTGTGGTCAAGACAGTGTCACAGTATTAACTTCAGTCAAAAATTAAATGCGGTTTTCTTTGTGTAGCAGTCAGAGTAACATTGTTTTCGGAAAGACAGCTGGATTTAAATTAATCCTAACATTTTACTTTAAAAATCGAAGCTCATGGGCCGGAAATGTGTACTTCTAAACTCTTAGAATTTAATAATATAGTAATACAGTTTATTTCTGACCACTTGCAGCCTGAAGCTGAGTTACGGGTGCGGTTTAAAGTTGAGAACAGACGTCACCATATCAGGCGCCTCTGGCAGCCGCTTCAGTCCATCGATCTCACCTTTCCACCCATCCCAACCCAGGGGAGGACATCCATCACACAGTAATCTCGTGTGTGGGAAATTAACATCTCCTACCTCCCAACCCTGCAGGAGACGGGACCTCCATTTATTCGTCCCTATCCGAGAAGATTATATTACCTAACCATTTCTTGATGTTATAGAAAGGTAGCAAATTCTTCTCAATTATTTTAAGACCCTGAGTGTTGGTCCGGCCGAGGCTCGAACTCTCGACCTCCCGCGGTCCATCAGTCCAGCGTTCTATCCATTGAGCTAACCGGGGGGCGGTTACAAATTACTCAAGTTACAAATCACTGAATGAAAGAAGCTTGATGGATCGAACCATAGCTATGATCGAACATGTTGAAGGCGAATATATTCACCTTCAACATGTCGTATAGGTGGTTTGCAACCAATCTCTAGAGACACAGGTAACAATGGTGAGAGGAACAAATGCTGGTGGACGAACAAAAGAAGCTAATGAGATATCTATTGTTTACGTCCACCAACATGGCGGCGATGAAGTAACGTGCAAACCACCTATACACTCACTAAAGTTTCCGGAAACCACTATTTGAGGCTTACTTTGAAGACAAATTAAATAAACTTTTTAGATATTGGCATAACAGAAAAAATATTTGCACGCACGATAATGTTGACCGAAAATTAAACTGCTCAGTTGACTTTTGCAGTCAGTTCCATTTATTCACAAGTCCATCGCAATGAATTTCAATAAGCTGGCTCGAAAGTCAGAGGAGTCTGTTTCCTAGACAACCAAAAACTCACTTGTGTTTTACCGACGTGATTACGTCACCCCTCGCAAAAAAGCACGATGCACACGTGAAAGTCATGCTCTTTGATAATGAGTTTGATGATGCATGTTATTAATGTTTTCAACTTTTGGACTTCCGCAACGAGGGATGACAATCGCGATGACTAAGCTAACGATTGCCTAATTGCTAAAAGATTACTCAACCTCACCTTCAGCATTTCGTGCGAAGCCAGCGTTTCCCTCTGGAGAAAGACATAAATCCCTAAATATTCCGCTAGGATTCCCCTACTCTAGCTACGTAAAGTTTGATAATATCGCCAAGTTGTTTTAATGATATGCAATTTTCATAATCAAATGTACAAAGGCTATGTTCAATACCGACATCTGTTGTGCGCTGGATAAAAGAAAACAGAGGCAAAACAACAGATTACCTATGGGACTTGGGCTTTGTTTTTGATTGGTAAGGGGTTATACGGAAATCTTCCAAGAAGCCTGAAAAAATTCAGGTTTCGGCGGAATTAAAAACCATGTCCATCAGGAGATCATTTCTTTCCTTGTATATCACAAGCGCCGGTCGAAATATAACTTATTTCATTCAATTGTGTATCTATTGTTTTCTCCATATTCTTGTGTCTCGACTATTTACTTGATATCATAGTTAGTAGAAGTATGATAATGAGTTGTGAGAGTGCGCCTCGTCCAAATTACGACACAAGTCTAGAAACTTCTGTTTTTTCTTTCACCTGCGATATATTGCTCTAAAAAGGGTCAATAAGGCCAATATATAATTTTTCATCATTAAAAAAGGATTCAGCAGAAGACATGTTACCAAGTTGTTGCAATGATCAATCGCTCTATTAACCTCAAATGATGCCGAGCGAAGTTCAGCTTTTGCATGAATTTCCTGTTTATAAAACAAGATTAGTGAGTCTTACAACTTCTTTTGACATTTATGCGTGTCTGTCAAGCAAATCCATGAGTCAGCGGATTCTTGCTCACGCACACTTACCTCATAACGACTTACCACATAACCTTATTGTCGACGGAAGTGCGAACTCGTCGATGTGTCGCCAAAAAAATTGACAATGAGGATTCTCACTGGTTTCTTTTTCGTTTCTTTGGACGCTTTACTCCTCGACTTCGCTTCAGGTTCAAAATGTCAGCCGCTTAACACGACTTTGTTCAAAAACTGCGTACAGGAGGGCTTTCACAATTCTTCCGCATCGAATTCGAGCATACAAGAGATGTCAAGTCTAATTTCCCACATGCAGGGAAAGTTTAACTGCTCCTCGTTGTCTGATCTCATGACTTGCTCGCTTCATATTCCGAAATGCTCTTCGCCGAAGCTACCTTGCAAAGACACGTGCAAGAAGTTTCTAACTGATTGTGGGAACACTTCAAGCGAACGCGATGGATTAAAATCTTTATTCCGCGGCCTTTGCGAGGTTCTTCCGATGACCAATTGTATATCAAAGTCAAACCATTCTAACGACAATGGCACAGATAATTCTAGTAAGTACACGACAATTTTTCGGTAGAGTACGCGAGCTAACATTCGATTTGCAATATAATTATGCCTTGCGAGTCACCAGGAGATTTGAATATTTAAACAATTTTCTTCGAGCCGTGCTATTTGTAACCGCTGAACGTTATGCAAAACTAACTAGTTTGCAATATCAATAATTGTGTAAGTTCAAGAGGATCACGCTAGAAACACGCAATTGTCATGCATCGGTGGTTTTACATTCAACATTTGGCGCAGCTTCAAAATTAAAAGCCTTTTAGAAGGTGTTTTGAGTTTAGCAGGTGACTCACCGTTTCTGGTATGCAAACAATTATGACAAAATTTTTTTTTACTTTTGTTATTTGCTTTCGAACCGAACTGAAATTGCAATAATTTTCTTCTAAAATATTATTTGAAGTTTGATCGCAAACCATCTCTCTTTGCTCAAAAGTATACACGTAAACGTCACTGAAAACAGACCTCAAAATATCAAGTCATTTGAACTTTTTTGTGTTCTTTATGTATTCATTTTTCAGATGTCACATGTCACATGCTTGTTTTGAAACAATGTCAGAAGTTTGGCTATAATTATACTTCTGTTACGAGTGACTATCAGAAGCTGGTGAATTCAAGTACAATCTTTCAACGAGTCGATGGTAACTCAACCAAGCTTCGTAAGGTTATCTGTATGGAGATAGCGCCGCCATGCGATAACAAAACCTCTACGCAGTTACAAGTTCCCTGCAAGTCTTTGTGCGATGATGCATTTAAAGAGTCACGTTCAGAGTTTAACAAAGTGTTCAAAGACCAAGAATACTGCTTAGCTTTCCCAAACGGAACAAAACGTGGACAAGAGCTCTGTCAACTCCAAAAGTGGCCGGACCATGTTTACTGGCCCAGCGGTTTGTGGATGTCTTTGGAAATGACAGGTATTTTACGGATTGTTTAAGTTCCAATGACTTTTTTTTTCCAAAAGCAAGTGATTTGTGGTTTTTACATCTTTGTTTGTGTCTGTATCTTTCAGCGCAACAGAAGAAGAATTCCGTAACGGAGTCAACAGTACCATCCAGTATTAGTACAACTGAACCAAAAACTGAAACAACCAACGTAACCACGCATCAAACAACACGAATGTTAAACCCAATTAAACCGTCAACTTATCCCCCAACGTCCTCACCAATCACTGACACAACCACACCCAACTCAACCTCTTCACCATCGGTTACGGTAACCAAGCCAACTTCGACGATCGAGGTAACCACGCCTGGAACGTCGAACTACAAAAGCATGCCGTCTGCACCCACCACTGAGACACCCAAACCTTCACTATCGAGTGAGGCCACCACGCCTACAACGACCATAAATAACACCAGTTCGACCTCAGCTAGTACAAAGGCTGCCAAACCTTCACCATCGACCATGGTAATCGCACCTTCAACTTCCACGAATAAAATTACACCGCCCGCGCCTTCATCATCAACCAAGGTAACCACGACTGTATCTCCTTCCAATAAACCCAGCCCACATGTATCTAGCACTGGGGGAATCACACCTGCGCCACCAACCAAGGAAAAGACATCGGCTCCAGCGACCAAGGAAACCACGCCCGGATCTCCTTCTAATAAACCTAGCTCACATGTATCTAGCCATGCGGGAACCACACCTCCGTCATCAACCCAAGAAAAGACGTCGGCTCCGGCGAGCAAGGTAACCACGCCTGCATCTCCTTCTAATAAACCCAGCTCACATGTATCTAGCACTGCGGGAACCACACCTCCGCCATCAACCAAGGAAAAGACGTCGGCTCCGGCGACCAAGGTACCCACGCCTTCGCCTAGTGCTACGCCTACATCAATAACCAAAGGAACCAAAAAAGGTAAGAGCCCAATTGAGGAGAACATTTCGTCATGTCACCCATTGAGTTTTTGGAATCACAGTTTACTGCCAGGGAGAAGTATGTGCATTTGCTTTGAAATGATTGAGTTGTAGCTTGCGGCATAAATTTTCCCTCCCGAGGCCTACCTCATAAAGGACCAGTCGTTATTTCTCTTTCTTGGTGGGGGAGGGGAGGGGGAAGGTCGGAGAATTCTAGAGTTCTAAAGGAACCGCTAATGGGGAGGGATTAAAGGTCACTAACAGAGTACAAAGGGGAACTCTATTACACATAACCACTATGGTGAGGGGGGAGGGTGGGGCTTTAAAATCACAACTGCAAATTGAAAATCTTATTGTGACACGTCCAAAATCCTCCAACCACCCTGGCAAAAAGGAATGAGTTTTTTCTAAACAAACCTGATATTTGATAATATTTCTTGTATTTTGCAGGTCTGACCCCGAAAGTGAGCGCGACCAAGGCTGCTAAAATGTCAGGAGGAACTATTGCAGGCATTGTGGTTGGTGTAATCGTCCTTATAATCGCCATTGCAGCTGGTGTTGTTTGCTTCAGAAGATTCCATCGAATCAAAAGCCAATATAGACATAGTCTTATGGTGGATATGGACGAGTTGTAAAGGAGCAGAACAACTGAGATACGAGTCTTTTTTAACTTGCAGCCGATGCGTTTTTCTGTATTGGTGACTCCACCAAAATAACATGGTATTTCATGAAAACCAACGCAAGTTAGTAGTGGTCTTCGTGACAGCTTGACAAAGAAGGAAATAAATTCCCAAGCTTTTCGTAAGTTTGACTAGGTAAAGCAAGATTTAGTTTTCGTAAAAAGGGAACGAAGAAGTATTAATTGATAAGTTCTTCGAAGGTCACTCTCAGAAAGGACATTTTTTTCTACTCTGTTGCGTTGTTAGTTATGTTGGTTGTCGTGAAAGTAATTTTGTCTTTAACATTTGTTGATATTGCTGTACGTGTTGCGGTTTATTTTATTCGTAAGTCCAGAAAGTTTTGTACTTCAGGCAGAAATTATGAAGTAAAGTCTACGTCGTCTAAATTAAATTTCAAACGTAGTCATTTCTCAAATACAACACTTGTTGTGAAAGATGTTTTTGGTGATGTCCTACTTCATAAAATTCAAACGAAGTCATAATGGAAATAGAAAGTCGCAGCTTGATCGTTCGGTTCAGCATATTGATAGAGCGGCGGTACACTCTAAGACGAGGGATCATGTTCCAACCTCAGATTGGACCAACTTTGAGAACTGACTAGAATGTGTAGCCTTTGCAAAGCAAAGATATCTACGTATACGTTTCACGATTCTAGGATGTGGAGTATAAAGCACAGGCCCTTTCATGTATTCTATGGACACAGTGATAAGCAGTCTGTATCGAAAGGACCAAGTTCGTGCTGTGACTGAATTACCATCAGGGCTGTGTTCTTGAGGAAGAAACTCGATTCTCACCGTGCCTCCCCACGTACAACATTATACATGCGTGGCTAAGTTAACCAGCGATGGACCAGTATTTCACCTTCATGGGGTATTCAAAATCTTTGTTGCGTCATGTAACAGGAACCAGATATGAGCGTCGCAAGCTTTGGGACACTTAACTTGGCTACTGCGACTCGTCCCCCTCCAATATTTTTACCTTAACAGAGGATTTTAATGGCATGAGAAATACATGCGAGCCTGATTTAGTGGTCTTTAAGTTTTCTGTTACACGATCCTGTCATGGATGGTGTTCTATCTACTCCACAAAACCGAGAGTACTTTGAGAAATATTTCATTGCAGTCATACGGTGCGATAAACACATAACCGCGACCATTTCTTATCCTTTACAAGGCACCAACACTATATTAAGGGGCTCGATAAGATCGCGGGCGTTCTAGAAGGAATAACTTGGGATATTTTGATAAAAGCAAAGAAACTCAAACCTCATAAAAAAAAAACCTATTACAGAAAAAGAGCATAAATCAAAAGAACTGTAATTAAAAAACAAGTCTAGAAAAAGAGCATAAATCAAAAGAACTGTAATTACAAAACAAGTCTAAAAAAAAAAAAGACCGGGGCAACTCTCTGAATCCGCCCTTTGACACACCAAATTCCTCCGGGCGTCTGGGAAAGTAACATAACAGATTCTTTCAGGCGTCCAGAAAGTAACTTTTATGGACTTTGATGTGGCAAAAATCTATCAAGTGTTTGAAAAATTTTTTCCTACTCTTCGTTTGTAAAATCTTGTTGTTTCTTGTAACCTAGCCAGCTAGCAGGAGCGATTCCACGCCACTTCCACCAGATGAGCCCAGCCAGTCCGAGTGCAACAATAATGAGGGATGTCAAGACCGCCACGGCAATGACCCACCCTTTAGGTCCTTCATCGGTTGGTTCCACTGATGGTGGTTCCGTGTTGAAATCTGTGAAACGATTCATCCGTTGATTAGCCCCTTCACTCCCAATATGTCAATAGTAGTTCCCTTTACTGTCTGCTACAAATTTCTTATTATATTGGATCTGAGAGTTTGATGTTGAATCAAATTTCATAGGGGCGTGATCAGCCTGTAGCCCCGTAGGCTGACAATTTTTTTGCCGTTGCGTGACTTTCATGATATATTTATCAAGACATATATATTTTCGAGTTCAAAAACGACAAAGAAGCAGCAAGAATAAATCTCGTAATGTTAAAGCGCTGGGTTAGCACGCTTACAGATCTCTTAAAATGCCTGGAACAAGTCGAAAAGCTGGCTACGCGCCCACGTTTCATATTCAAAGGAGATATAACTTCTTTGTCACTCCTGAGAGTTTAGATAATTGCCAGTTTCGATGATAGACATGATGACCAGAGACGTTTTTGTTACCCGACTTGATTTCTTTTTTTTATGCTATGCAACATTAACTTTCAGAGAAATCGTGGCAATTTTGAGGACTACTTCTTTGTTCAGGGTATGGTATTGAAGTCACGACAAATCGAATGATCTTTGACTCCGTTATATGAACTGTCCAATGATGATTATATGTCTTATATGTCTGAGAATCTTATGCATACGAAGCATTGACTTTTTGTTCCAGTTCTTTACTGAGCTAGCCATCGTCACGGTAACAGGTAGTCTTTTGAGCGCTCGACAAAAATCAAGGCAGAACTTTGAGTGAAACCTCTTCTCGCTTCACCACTTACTGCGCAAGCCTGAAACCGTGGGAATGTTCTTCAACAAAGTAAGTCTCGTTTATTCTGTAATATAACCTATATCCAGGTTTCTATTGAGATAATCCTTACTAAATTGCTTCAATTTGATTAGCGCAATGTTTCATAGGCCAAAAAAGCAAGACACAGGAAAACCCTTTTACCACTAAGAGTCGCTAGCATCTCTTATCATCCGAAAATTACACAAAGGAAAAGATCACAAACTTAAGTAGTTCTTGATTGTTACACAAATTTTCCTTGTCCGCATCTTAGGCAATTAATGTAAAGAGAACAGTATGGAGAATATGAATACTGATGTTAGGACGTAAAGGTTTAGTAAGGGCTCACCTTCCCCCAAATATGTCAGCCAGAAAAACGGTTCAGGCCATTCTGTGCGATCACAAAAGCCATGACTCGTGTTCCCCGGTGCAAAGAGAGCACACATTTCCGCACTCAAGTAATTTTCTCTAAAAGGAAAGCGCAGACGCAATTGCGATTAAGCTTTACTTTGATAAATAAAACAAATACAAAAAAACACATACAAAAAAAAAGAGAAGAGATCAGTCTCTATCTAGGGGAGGGGAGGGTAGGGAAGGATTTTTTTTTTTTTAAAGATCACACTGTTTTGCAGGGGGGAACGGACGGGGCATCAGTCATCGCCAACAAAGTATAAAAGGGAGGCTATAGAAAATTAATTGTCAACGAGGGGGGGAGAGGGAGGAGGAGGAGGAGGA